TGATTCTGATGGTTTGAATCAACACCGTGTTAGCACGCTCTGCTTCTTCATTTCGATAATTAATGGCAAGCTTCTCAAATGTTGGCTGAAAATTTTCCTAGGCAGAATTTTTTTTTTAGCTTGGCTTCCTGAGGAAATGAAGCTTGCGTGCATCACACTGTCTCTCCGTCATGTCTGTTCAGCTTCAACCAAATTGAACAGAGTAGACATTTTTAAAATAGTAAGATCTTACAACAGACCTGTACAACACTCAGCACATCATGGAAGGCAGCTCCCAAAGTCATTAATTTTGTTGCCAGCAGAAGAGAAGGGCAGTCGATTAGGTTCAGCTGGTAGCAGCTGCTGACCACGCTGGACACGTACAGGTTGGCCACCTTGCATGCATGCATCTCAAGAACAGCGTCTGCTGGGTCATGCCCAATCATCACGCCAAGCAACAGTAGCTAAAAGCTGTAGAAAAAGTGAAGTGCAACACCGTGGCAGAGGAGGTAAGGGGAAAGTAAGGAATCTCACTGTGAGGAAACGGAAAGATTGGAAGGTACCATGGTAGAGGGCACTTCAATGTGATGAACATGAGGTATCGCACCTCAAGAGACACAAAGCAAGAGAGAAACAGTACTCATTAGTTTTGCCATTCAAGGAATAATCTGGATCTTTTGGGTTTTTCCCTTCCTCTCTCACAATCCATCTACCTCCAATTTTCCAGCCAGACTTACCTTTGCTTGCAGCTCCCATGTACAAACCTCTGTACAAGCACAAAGAGGTACAGATGTTTATTCAGTCACCTGTTAGATGATGGGTACGAGATAAGCCCACGATATATGATTAACCATATATATATATCATAAGCCAATGTTATATGTGGTGCAAACCAATGAGATATGATAAGCCATACGATCGATGATACGTAAGGCGACTTACACGATAAGACAATATGTCTATTTACATAAGGAAGTGCCAATTCCACTTGCACACAACAAGTAGCAATCGAAAACGTGTCCCTCCATTGGCCCCACAAAAAGAATACCTAACGGCTCACGTAAGACGGAGGCTGCCTTCCCTTCACCTGCTGAAGAAGAAAACATGCTGACGTTGATGAAACAGCAGGTCTCTTTTTACAACTTCGTAGGATGATAACAGGTGTCTGCTGAGAGCCTCGGCTTCCTGTACAGAAAGGGGGATCGTCGCGAAGTAAGCGCGTACTTCCACACGTGTGCAACAGAGAGTGTAGTGTAAGACCAGAGCCACCTGCCAGCACGGCCACCAGGCAGAACGCTGGCAGACCCATTTGCCTCTTAGGAGATGACGATATGTAGCCTGGCTGCCAGTAACTCCTGACATCCCTCTTTCTGCTCACTGCCATTTGTAATTCAGCAAAAACATAAGAAAAGCTATTGCATCCTCCCTCTCCGGTACTGTAATATTAGTAAGGTTTCTTATTTTTGCTTTGAAGGGACAGGTTTTTTAAACAAAAGGCAGGGAGGGCTGCAGAAGGAAAGCCGGACTCAGAGGCAACGCGGCTGCAAGCACAGCAAACCCTTTGTTAGCTGCTGCATGCAGCCAGCAAAGCGGCACTCGAGCAGCCTGCGTGGCAGCTCTGCAGCTCCGTCAAGCATCATGACTGGCACCAGCCCGTTTTGAAAAAAGAAACAGTATTTGTCACCTATAACTCTTACTGCAGCAAAATTAAGCTGGCAAGATCTTTAGAAATCAGTAGAATTTAAACCAGAACAGGCAACCTGCTGTCTTGTATGTGACATAATGCTTCACCCGTTTACGGCTGCTTTCCCCAGTGAGTTGGGTTATGCAAAAAAAAAAAAAAAAAAAAAAAAACAAATTTTAAAAAAAAAAAAAAAAAAAAAACCCA